TTGACATTTCAAATCGGATCGGATCCGAAAACAAAGGAACATGCAGAGAAAGATTTACCCACGATCGAGTGTCTATACCCGATCGAGTACACCGACATACTCGATCGGGTATAGTTATAAAATTTACTCTAAAACCGATCGAGTATGGGTCGAATTCTGATTTCTACACATACTCGATCGAGTATATATATATACTCGATCGAGTACCCGACCTACACCTCAAAAAGTCTATAAATACACCTCCTTTCCTTCACAATAGAGGCACCAATTCACATATACTTCTTAGCTCAGTTTAGACAAGTTCTTTCTTTATATTTTTCATCATGTTTAGTCTCCAAATGAGGAGCTAAACTCTTCCATCTTGGTTTTGCTCTTTTGAAGCTTAATGAATTTGTAAGTTGTGAGTTATTATCTTTAATCTTCTCCCTTGAGTATTAATTAATTCCTATTCATATTTCATATTAATATTTTGAACATTACTTAAAGTATCAACTAGTCTTGTTCTATATATTAATTATTACTAGAATCGATCGGTTAATACGCTTGTTATTAATTCGGCCCTTTCACGGTAGTAAACTTGGGTTGTTAATGCATGCTTCTCATGGTTAATAAGCCAAGGGGAATTAATTATATTGATTAAACCAATAAACCGCTTGTGTTGAGGTTATCAATCTCAATCGTTTTCATCTTGATTTTACTGCTACTATCAAGTTAATATACGGCGCTTGTTCTATATTGACTCGGTAGTAAGTTTTATTAATGAACGCTTCTCGTTATTAATAACTACCCTCGATGAACTGGATATACTCCTCGATTGAGTATTCGAGAGGAAGATAGTTAAAGATATAACCGGGATCGACGAACATTTCATTAAGTGGATAAAAGCAAAGCCAAGTCTTCTTCTCATTAATTAAACCACATAATTCGTTCATCTTCGTGTTTAAATACAATTTAAGTTCATATACTCAACCTAAACCCCCCTTACTAGCTTATAAAGAGAGAAGTATTCCTTTCCCTGTGGATACGAACCTTACTACACTATACTACGTATTAGTGTCGTATTGATTATTATTTTGAGTGCACACCACGACAAAGTGCACGTCACGTGTATGGAAGTGGAAATGGTGTTTTTGCAGAGCTTCTTCCTCCTCCTTGGATAGCTGGGTCGAGCATATGGGTTGGAGGATGATGGAGGTGTCTCTTTTTGGCTTATTCACCAATGATATGGGGGAGGGTCCTATCTCCTCTCATACTTTGTCCCCCAATCACTTCAAACCCCTTCACCAGCCAAATGATGCGGCTCCCCTTGCTATTTGCAAGACTAAAAACGTGGGGTGGCCCCTACATATGTGGGAGGTCATCCCTTTGTGTCCCCAAGTGTACATTCGGTCCCGAAAGTTGTATTTTCCGGACTGTTTTAACTATATTTCATTTTATCGGGTAAAACGAAATATCTATCATTCTTCCAATTATTATTGGCTATAAGAATGAATGTATATTCCCAACTTTTAATTTGATGGTCTCCATAACTTATTATGGCTTTTTATCTGATAGTACTTCGGCACCGATAAATGGGCTTTATATGCCCAAAAGGTTACTCGCATAACTCCTATGGCCCAACCAGGCTATCCACCATTATACACATATTATCTTGACCCAAATGAATATAATATGTGGTCCCGATAATATCGGGCGGCCCCCGCTTCCGGTGTGGGCCCCACGTGAATTTTACTATTCACGTAAAAGAATTGATAAAATTTCACAATCACGTAAAATGCGTTTATTCATTTCTTGGGTTCAATACATAATTTGATAAAGTACAAATACTTGGGGGCGGTGTTACAGAAGAAGACTAGGAAATCTGGTGGCGTAAGAATCATGTTCCTGCTTCAAATCTCCTTGTGCAGTATGGAAGTTGAAGTAACTATAGCCGCCGTTCTAATTCGCAACCAAGAGGGATGACGGCCATCATATTCATCATCATTATCCCATTGAAGAGGGATGACGACCGTGTAAAAAAATTAGATTTACCGATCATCCTGATAACGTGTAATGAAACAGATCAAAACATCTTTCATTCATATATGAGGATGTATATTAGTATATATAGGAGGAGAGCTAGGGTTACAATCATCATATGGACAGTACATATGGGCTCGGGCTATGAACTAATGGACATCCATAATTACATAACATACACGAATAAAGTTTATCGATTTGTTCTTTAAAGGTGAATACTTTCAATTAGGTCAAAACCATTTTTTATTCTTTAAAAAAAATCTTAAGAGATCCATATCATTTAGCTTGTTAGTCGACCTCAAAGAAATAGTTTTTAAATGATTTTAAAGCCCTAAAGAAATAAGTAATAGTATATAGGTATGTGCCGAGTACCGATATTGTGATCAGGCCAACATATATGATAGGACTCTCCGTCCGACCGATCCTTTTTGAGTACCTTTTTGGTAGATTTTTTTTGTTGAAATTTTTTGTCCATCTTCTTGATCAAGTCTAGCTTAGTTTGAGCCCACAAAAATTTCAACTTAAACTTTGATCAGGAAAACAATTATATAAATTATTTAAACATATTGTGCTTTATTTAGATGCATAAAGCGCTATATGTTTCAATAATTTATTTAATTGACTTTCTGGTTGAATTTTAAGTTGAAACTTTTTGGAGATAACCTTCACTTGATGAGAACATACTCAAAAGATTTCATCCAAAAATTCCATCAGAAAGGACCCAATGGCCTTGGCCAGATGGAGGATCCTGTCTGGCCGCAGCCTAACAAGATCATTCCTTTGTGCTTATATAAATCAACTATAAACCTCCAAAACACAAGCTTTCCCTCCGTCTGCAGTAGCCCATACTCTCACCCTCTCCTTCACTTACTAAAAATAAATTGATTAATTAAAATTTTTAAATATTACTCTGTAATTATTATGGAGATGCATACGAAATAATATTTCATATATGATGAAAATAAGGATAGTGAGTAAAATGGTCGACGGACTTAGAAACTTTTAGTGAGTATAATTATCTTCCAAATCTACATAGTACTAACTAAAAAAAGTCAATGTAGTCACATTTTTACTGTAAATTTTATTTTAATAATATTTTAAGAAAAATCTCTTAAATAATGAGAATGTCTTAGAAAATATATTTAATTTTTTTTTTACATTTATTAGATAATTTTGGCGTTCTTTCATTTTAAACATACATTTAGGGCTTGTTTGGTAAACAGCGGTTAACGGTTAGCGGGTTGTGTTAGTGATTTTGATCGGCGGATTGATTTAGCGTTTTGACCGGCTGATTAGATTAGCGGATGGTATAAAAAATGTTTGGCTAATTAGCGGTTTGGATATAGCTGTTTTTATATAAAATTACGTAAAAGGGCTTATCTTTATTTAAACAATTCGACCTTCTGTGTTATTTTTATTGCCATTTTATACTACGTACTATATGTATATTTGATTTGGTGTATATATATACAGTATAATAGAATATGACATATAACACCTTAAGGTGCAGAACCCACAACAATAAAAAATGGGGAAAATGAAAACTAATAATCCAACCTTTTAGCGGTCTTCTTACAATAGGTCCATCTTTTCGTTATTCATAAATAATCCAACTTTTGCACCTCATCTTCATTCACTGGTCCCTGACCGGTTGATGATATCCTATTCCAAGTTATTTTATTATCTTTGCAAACCATTATACCATAAATCTCACCTTTTACAAAGATAATATTTTGTAAAGATAAGAAAATAACTTGGAATAGCAGGTCATTAATTGATCAGGGACCAGCGAATGAAGATGAGGTGCAAAGGTTGGATTATTTTTGAATAACGAAAAGGTGGGACTATTAGTCTATTATTATAAGATGATCGCTAAAAGTTTGGGTTATTAGTTTTCATTTTTCCTAAAAAATGAAACACATCCTTTATTACTAGTAGTTTATTACTCCGTATTATATTATTGCTACTACGACATCTAGCTTTTACTTGAAACCGAGCAACTTTGAATTGTGAAATTTGTTCTTCAATGACCTGGGGCTAAGTGGACTTCTAATATATAATTCAAAACCGCTGAACATAAACGCTGATCTAATCTTTGGCGGTTTGAATCAAAATCGCTACTCCATACTGCTGTTTACCAAACACACGTGATCAGCGGATCGATCAAAGTCAAACCTCCAACAGTATTTGAAACGCCAAAATTGAGTGAACCGCTGTTATCCAAACACAGCCTTAATGGTTTCACAAGAAAGTAAATATTTGCTTTATTATGACTTTATACATAATAAAAAAGTTCATCAAAATGTCACTACAAAATAAACGATTCAAGCCTCCTTAATTTATCCCAGTACCAGTGGCGGAGCCAGAAATACGGTCCAGGGGGGTCGAGAATCAACTTTATACAAAATGAAAACGGTGGATCGTTTCCAAACAATGTCCGAGTTGAATATTTTATATGTAGTTTAGATAAATAGGCACTCGTAACAATAAAAGAGACTGTTTTTGCTCTATTTTTGAGTCATGTCACGTAAGTAATGAGTTAATTATACACTATTTTTAAAATTTGGGGAAAAAATCAATATTACTTATCAAATTTTGCTGATTTTACGTTTAGATAGTGTTGATTTTGCAGAAGTCATAACTTTTTACTCGTAATGAGTTACGGGGGCCATAATATATCAAATCGAAGATATTTCAGAGCTCTATGCTCTCAAACTTTCAGCGGGGTCGACTGACCCCCCTGACCCCCCTTGGCTCCGCCCCTTCCCAGTACTTCATTATAGTTTGAGGTAAAGGTTCGTTAAAATTTTCTAGAAAGGAGCAAATGTTGGTAGACTAGAGGGTATCTTATTCCAACTTTACAATTCCTCAAGGCTTTGATTATGTTTTGTGTGGCTGATTTCCTTGCTAAATGATCTAGTACACCTTAACATTTATCTGGCAATATTCACCTTGAATCTGTTGATAAATAAAACAATAGATTGTTTAGAACTTTAATCCATTCCACATCAGTGACATCACAAATATTAAACAAAAAAAATTGGTGCTTTAATATGAAGGCATATAAAATTCATCAAAGCAGTAATTCATGGTATCAAGGGAATACTTTTGGCAATAGAATGAGGGGAAGTAATCACAGCTTGCATTTGGCAAAGCACACACTGGTCTTGGGCGGACATAGAGGGCTTGGTTGCTTGCCTCCTCGAATCTTCATTCACCTCAAATTTGAAAAATATTGCTTGTATTTGTATGATCAAAATTCTTAGACTTCTAAAACTAGAGTTGATCAACTAATGAAACGAATTAAATAATCACACAACCAACCTAATTAAGAGCGTATGCAGAGAGGGAAGAAGGCTCTAAGTAAGGACATAGTCTTCGAGAACATTTGCCATATCCTTCCTCAATCATGGTTAATAGGCGACCAGAATATCGAATACTATACATTCCATGTATTTGGAGTCCAGATGATAAAGATATGCACCCCCTCTTTCTACCCTGAGAATCACGGCAAGAGAATTTTTCTTCTCCTTCTTTTGAGAAGGAACAAAGGCATCCAAGAGTATTTTCTTTTCCCTAACGTTCCCCGTTGATCCTTCACAACCCCCTTCCTCTCCTTTGGTGACAGTAAGATGACATCGTTCCAGAGCGAACCGACACTTATGCGGTATACCACCACCCACTCATTACAGGTTATGATAGTTGGCCGTATATTGTTGTTCCCCCCGTCTTCTACACACTTCGGGAGCATGAAAACGGTCATCGTGGCACGGGAGTCCATGGTGCTGAACCATAACATGTCCCCATCCTCAATGGACCTTGTAAACGCATGAGATTCATGTGAATCGCCATCAAGAAGAGGAGGAAGATCATTCAGACCAACAGGGACATGGATGAACTGAAGATTGTTGTTTTCACGTGGACGGTAAAGCACCAGTGTTTTGAAGCGGTGGAGGAGGCCCCAGTGGAAAACACCGTTTATAACTGAAGGATCAGTGCATATTAGATCTCCCTTAAATCCGTCTGGGAGGGTTATCCGTTTGGCCGACCAGACTCCGGTTTCGGATGAGTAAGTATCCATCCACACAATTATAAACCTCTCAATTGCTGTACGGACGACTATGTACTTGGAGGCCAGTTCATGTTTATTCTCTTCGCACATCAAACCAATGGTCGTGAAACAAAACACCGTCGGCGGCGGTGGCGGCAACGACACTAACTTTTGTGTTATACGGTTGAGAACGTAGTACTCTTCGGGGTAACGAGGATGGCTTCTGCATCTGCCCCTGCTGAAGAGGATCAAACCGCCTGAAGAATTTATGAGCTCGCAATCCTGCAATTTTATAGACCGGCGTTTACGATTACGAGGAAGATCGACAGAGAGTATGTTCGTGCGATATGTAGGTCGCCGGGGATCAGTGTAAGACACAGTTTTCTGGAACAAGGCCAACAAACGTGGACCGCCGCGCCGCCGCCGCCTGCCGTCGTACCTCTCAATGAAAAACGGGTGGGAAATCAGTTCGTTACAGGATTTAGACACGACCCTGAATCGGTAGATTGCTTTGGGAGGCAAACAGAGAAGAACTCCCATCATAACTTGCTCATCCATCCCTCCAAGATCGACCTGTTATTTATTCCCAAGCGTGTATAAGAACACCCGAACAGGGAGTATTTATTCTGAATAGGGATTATCAAAGGGTTGCTGGGCTCCGATTTTGAATAGGGAACTAGTATAGTACCAGTGCATACGCACGGGAAAGCTCAGTTGATGCATATATTTTTACTTAATTGTTAGCAAGCTTATCTTATACTTAAAAAACTACATATATGAGAATTCACCCGATCAATTGCTGGCAAGCTTATATTCTACTTAGTAATACCTAAAAGCACTACATATGAGATAGAAAGTTCTCCCGCTCAATTGTTAGCGGCTTATCTTCTTCTTATATATATATATATATATATATATATATATATATACACCTAAAAGCACTACATATGAGAGAAATAATTTCCCTCTCAATTATTAGTCGGATTATCTTATACTAAAAAAGAACTACATATAACAGAAAATTATCACGTCCCATTCTTAGCCATCTTATCTAAAACTTCAAAACTGCATAAGAAAGTTATCCCGCTTAATTATTAGCAAATTTATCTTCTAACACCTAAAATCACTACATATGAGAGAGATAAATTTTTCGCTGAATTTCTCTGCTCAATTGTTAGCAAGCTTATCTTCTAATACCAAAAAGCACTATATATATGAGAGAGAAAATTAACCAAGCATTTCAGTTCAGCTGGTTGTGAGGTTACCGTGCCTAGTGAGGGGTTTCGAACTCCAGGCACACAGGTTTGAAACTCAATAGAGTGAGTTTCAGCCCTGATTACTCCAGCCCCCCCAAGCCCCCCCTCCCCCAGACCCCCCTGGAGTAAAAAGAAATATGAGAGAGAAAATTCTCTCGCTCAATTGTTAACTGACTTACCTTATGCCTAAAAGCATTATATATGAGAGATAAAGTTCTTCCGCACAATAGTTAGCAAGATTATCTTCTACCTTATAATACCTAGAAGCACTACATATGAGAGATATAATTGAGACAATTTTCCCTCTCAATGGTTAACTGGATTATGTTATACCTAAAATCACTACTTATGAGAGAGAAACGACTTATGGCTTGATGTTTTTTGTATCTAAAATCTTATATCTAAAAGCATTACATATATGATATATAAAAAAAAAACTCTTCCGCTCAATTGTTATCCAGTTTATCTTACCTTATACTGAAAAACAGTGTTAGGAAAACAGTGTTATCCAGTTTATCTTACCTTATGAGAGAGAAAACTCTCCCTCTCAATTGTTAGGAAATTTATCTTCTAATACCTAAGTTCATTACATATGAGAGAAAATATCACCACCCTCAATTTCTCCGCTCAACTATTAGCAAATTTATCTTCTAATACCTAAAGTTCTTCCGCTCAATTGTTAGTCGGTTTACCTTATTATACCTAAAAACATTACACGTGAGAGGGAAAAATCTTCCTCACAACTGTTAGCCAACTTATCTTATACTTAAAAGAACTACTTATGAGAGAGAGAGAGAAAGTTCTTCCGCTCAATTGATAACATGTTTATCTTCTATCTTCTAATATCTAAAAGCATTACATATCAGAGAGAAAATTTTCCCGCTCAATTGTTAGGCAACTTATCTTATACCCAAAAACATTATATGATAAAAAAAATCTCTCATTCAATTGTTAGTCGTGTGCCTTATGACCTAATCTTCTTATACGTAAATTCTTATCTTCTTATACCTAAAACCACTACATATAAGAGAGAAAATTGTCACTCAATTTTTGGTTATCTTATACCTAAAAGCATTACATATTAGAGAGAAAATTTAGCCGCTCAATGGTTAGCCGACTTATTTTGTACTTAAAAGAACTCCTTTCTTATGAGAGAAAATTATCCTTCCTAATTGTTAACCGGTTGATCTTATATCAAAAACACTATATATGAGAGAAAATTCTCTCATTTCTTACACAAATGTGTAATGATTCACGTACACAATAACAATTTTATTTCAATGTCTTCTACATATTTATTACGGAGTACTTAATTATATAATTTCATTTTAATGTACTTTCTACCGTTAGATTGTTAGTGCTTTGAATTTTTTGTTCATCCCTGAAGTATATCTTTTCAATTGCAAGAACTTCTGCTATTTTTATAACTTCTTATGAATAGTGTGAACTTTTAAGTTGTAAGTTTATTTTCATTTTTTCTAAATTCAGTTTGATCTGGCTTCTTATTCTATTTGATAATTTAAAATAGTGCTTCTTTCGATCATGGTCAGTTACATAGTAAGAAATGTACATTTTTTGTTCAAATATTCTTTCAATTGCTAGATTAGGAATCATCTGAAAGTCTTTTGCAAGTCTATCTCGTTTGTGTGTACAGAATTGGAAGTCCACAATAATAACCAAATTCACGTATGTGTGTATTTAAAAATATGGGGACTACATTTCAATATAGGCACTATTTGAGTGACTAAAAGGGCGAATTTCCCTATTAGAAATAAAACAATTGGTAGCTAACAATCTCATATACCAAGATGTCATATAATACTCCCTCCGGTTTTAAATAAACTTCTCACTTTCCTTTTTGGGACGGTCCAAAATAAACTTCACACTTCCTTATTTCCTTATTTGGCAAAGAAATCTACACCAAAACAGTGCCAAACAGTGCCAAACAGTGTCTCAACAGTGCCAAACAGTGTCTCAACAGTGCCAAACAGTGCCAAACAGTGTCTCAACAGTGTACTCTACAGTGAAGTCAACTTTATTTCCTTAATAACTGTGAAGTCAAACACTGAAGTTTAAAAAGAACCGGAGGGAGTATAAAACAAACTTTGATCTCGAGCGCTGAATTATGAGAATTTTGATCTCGTGCGCTCTAAATTGTAGCAGCTGATTTTTTTTTAAATATGAAAAACAAATCGTAGATTGCTTTGGGAGGCAAATAGAGAAGAACTCCCATCATAACTTGCTCATCCATCCCTCCAAGATCGACCTGTTATTTATTCCCAAGCGTGTATAAGAACACCCGAACAGGGAGTATTTATTCTGAATAGGGATTATCAAAGGGTTGCTGGGCTCCGATTTTGAATAGGGAATATGAAAGGGCTGCTGGGCCCCGATTTTGAATATGGATTCAGTAAGACTAGTTTTGCTTTTCAAATTTTTAATTAAATTTAAAATTAAAATCATCCTACATAATTGCACTACTTTAGAGAAAATATTTTTCCCGCTCAAGCATCTTACACACATCGACCACACGATCCAAAATTAGATCTACCGCTGTGATGAAAAGATCGTTCATTCCTTTTAGCCTCTCCTCCCTCACCGCAGACCATTCGAGTTTACTCCATTCCTAGATGGATGTAAACGGCCTCAACATCACTCCTTCTCTCATCGGAATCCATCAAAAGCTCAGAAGCAATTCATCGGCAACAATTTTTCTCCTAAATCGCTCAATGGAATCTGGAAAAGCTCAAAGTCTGCACATTCCTGGGGCCGGCTGAATTTTTGTTTTAATTTTATTTCATGTATGATTCTATATTACATTCATGCTCTGTTCATATGCCTTTTTAGATTCATGTTCAAGAGAGTACAATGTCTTTTTCCTTTATTTTCTTGATTTCAAGATGAAAAGCTATGACAATGAAGAACAAGATGCTTGCTCTCCCTTTAGGTTTCAACGATTTACCTGCAATTGTCCTCTTCAGGGTCAATTGCTTCTCCTTTTCTCCTTCATTCGAATTTCAATTTTTATAGTTGCTTATGGAGCTGGTTTTCTTCAATTCCAGATCATCTCAAATAAATGACAATGTTCTGCAACAAATTCAAGCACGCAAAACTACGGTCTTTTTAGAATCATATTCAATATTCATTATTTATTTAATTATTCATCTTTAAATATAACAACTGATTCCTTTGACATTGTGAAGATTAACTGATATAACTGATATAATAACGGATTCCTTTCATCATCTTTAAATATAATAACTGATTCCTTCTTTTACACTGTGAAGAAAAGATATGTGAAGTCAAAAGGCTGAATCTGAAATTGACACCACCCAGTGGGTAATTGGGTATCGCTATTCGATGTTAATGAGATGTTAACATAGAAGAACATACACTTTAGTTTATCAGGTTCTTTGGTTTCATGACTTCTTCAATTAATACTTATCTTTTAAATTGCAATTGTTATGGTCTCTCTACAATTTAATCATTGTTAGATGAAACAAAGGTGAAGGATTCTGTTTTTATCACTAACTGTGTTCTTTTTTTTATTCAGATATCATTTCATTCAATTTAAGACACTGAGTGTGTTCTATTTCCCATGATCAGTTTCATTAAGGTTAGCTGATTCAATATTATTTTATTTGGTTCGTATGGACTTAATTTCCCATTTTATCATGTTAGCCAACCCCAAAATCTTTTGGGAACAGGGCATAGATATTGTCCCTAAGCTTTCTTTTTGTTTTGTTTTTTCGTTAGAAATAAACACTCGAGACAATCTTTTTTTATTAGAAAATGAAGTGATTATTGCGCTGGACTTTGAGGAGCATTGGAACTTAAAAGCACTACATATTTTTTTCATAGAGTTGATTGTAAATTAGTCTACGGACCAATATGATTTGTGCTTTGATTCAGTGTAGTACCATAGCTAAATTTTTAATTTTTTTTCATGTACGTATGTCATTTGACTTCATTTGCTTCTTCCATCTTAAAGCAAATACACTTCCTCACCCACATGGTCTTTCTTCTCTTGTGGTTATTGTTTAATCCTCTTCAGAATCAGAAGATTAATACTCTTTTCTCTGTCATTCAATTTCTCTCTCTAATTGATCAATTAATTCGTCGTATTTCTATTCACTTTCAGAGTATCTAAATGGTAGTTAAAAATGGAGGCCCGTGCAGGTGAAGAATATTTCTCTTTAAGGTTAACCTTTTCTTTCATCTTCTTCATTGGTCAATGTCGAAAAACTTTTTATTCTTCCATTATTATTCAAATTTTTGTAATTGAATTCATTATTTTACTTTATTTTTTGTATAAATGATTAGTTGACCATTTCTAATGTATTTTCAAATCATTGAAATTTATTTTCCACTTCCCTTAGAAAT